CTAGTCTACGAAAAGGAAGCTAACGTGCGAAAACTATAGTTTTCTGGGAAACAGCTGTTAAAAATTCCATCCGAATCAACTAAAAAGTGAAAATTGATTTTTTGACACCTAAGCCCCCTTTCCGTAGACCAGGTCACATATATGTTTGTACATATATATCTCAATTAGTTTTAGGTGATACGTACAACCGTTAGGTGAACATAACTATAATACTCTGTAGCAACTGGTTGCAAAAGTATAAAAACTACCAATGTTCTCATAATATATTGTTTGGTTGCACCCGAACTCAGCTCCTCCTTAACTGTTTTTTCTTTGATAGCTGTGTAAGCCACAAATCTACATGTAATTTATATTAGAACTTCGCTTTTGTTGAAAAATTCAAAACGAATCGGCCGACACTTTTTGACACATAACACACCATACAAGCAAATATACATATGTATGTACATATGTATGAAATTTGTGAATACACTGGTGATGATATATGTACGTATTTATTACTCAATACATTCTCATCTATTTATGTTCAGTAAAATGAAAAAAGTAGGAAAAATACTATATCTGAAAACGAAAGCCCGAAACAACAATAAAAATAGCTCAGCACCATTCTGTTTAGATGAAAATGAAATGAAAACACATTCAGACTCTTATACATACTATAGTCGTGTGGATATACTTATGTGTGTATATTATAGATATATGTACGTGCGCTGGATCCAAATATAAACTTTGTGGGGGAGATCATGTGACTTGACTCCGGACAGGCTGGCTAGATGGTTCGCTTCTGTAAGAAGTTACTGTGGGTAAATGAACGAAAAGTGACTAACGTGAAGGAAGATACAAACTTGTTACAAGAAAAATGCACACATTCATACAAACTTATGTTTTTTTCAATAAATTTACATACATACTATAATATGTACATAGATATATTTTAAATAGTATTCACCGAGAAGCTGTGGTGGGTGAAATTTTTCATTGTTTTACATACACACTTACTCATGAATCCACGCTTACTAGAACAACTAAATATTTTCTATCCACCAGCTTTTTGGTGACACGTTGGCGCGTTTACAAAAATAATGATTCAATGAAGAAAATCGGGCCGGCTTAAAATTCACTATTTAGACAATCACTGTTTTAACGGGCAATTGTTAAGGTAGTAGGTTGCGTAATGTTGACCATATACAGTCGAATATGGGCCTTAAATATTATAGGGGATAAGGATATAGGCTCAAAACTCATACACATTTATGTATATCTACTTATAGTATACTTCTGAAACCATTTACATAACYACCTTTAAAAATATCCATAATTAATTCTACTTGTACTAAAACTTGCATGGAATTACATACACATTTATTACAATGTAATAAGTGAAAGAAAGAACATATGACAATTATTTATTTTCTCATACGCACGATTGTACTATTATTAATCTAACAGACTATTATTGATTATTGCACGAACCATCTGTTACAATTTCTTAAAGAAATAGTTATATGTAGATACGTATGTACATTGTATACATGTATGTATACCTATCTGTGTCCAGAGATATAATAAGTCGTGTTAATCGTTGCCATCGTCAAGAGTAAGGTATGTTAGGTTAGGCTAGGCCAAACCGTAYGCTACCCAAACAAAGTGATGACAACACAGAAGAAAAGGATTCAACTGAGGAATTACAGATGTATTTGATTTTTCCCACCTTTTCTAATATCATTTTGCAACAAAAATTATTTATAATTTATAATTTTTTTATAATTGTATACAAACATATGTACATGCACTTATAGTTATGATCATACGCATTATATGATCATGTACATTATATTACTATGTCCWTATATAAAGTCATACATACATACATAATATGCATACATATGTATGTATGTTTATTATTTTGCTTATTTGGCATCGTTTCAATTTTTAGGGACAAATAAAAACAAGCAAAAGACTTCAAGTTCAAGAATTTCACATGTCAACTAGAAAGTGAAATATTTACATAAGTATGTACATACATACATACATATATGTACATATATGCCATTTTATAACATCTTGGCTGTTGTTTTCCACAATTTGGAAAAAGTGAAAATTTCAAGTTCAAGATTCTACATTAAAGTATGTGGATACATACATAMATACGTCCATACATATGTACCTCGGTGCCAACAATTATAGCTAAAGAGTATTTAGTTATGTATTCGAAATTTTTTTCATCTACAAAAATTTAACTGATTAATAACAAACGAAATCTTATCCTTAAAAAATAGGTTCAGAAACGGAACGCCTTCGAATTATAATTAAAAATAAAAAGCTTGTTAAGATCCCATAATTTTAATTAATAATATTTGTA